CTGCCTCCAACTTCCACTGCACACTCCGTAATGATACTCGTCAGATTATCATTCATTGTATCTACGCTAAGGTTGGTTTCCTCACTAAGAGCCGAGTACCTGTTCTGCAGCGACACTCTGAATTCCTGTACTTTCCCTCTCAGTGCAAGCTGATTGATTGGCTTCTTGCGTATCAGTTTCTGTCGTTCTTTGTTCAAGTCTAGGCGAATTCGAGACCGTACCATTCTATGGTCACTGCATCGTACCTTGCCAATCACTTCCACATCCTGCACGATTCTAGGGTGTGCACTCATTATAAAGTCTATTTCGTTCTTATTTTCGCCATTAGGGCTCCTCCATGTCCACTTGCGGTTTTCTCGTTTTCGGTAGAAGGTATTCAAAATCCGTAAATTATTGCGTTCTGCGAATTCTACTAGTAGCTCTCCTCTGGCGTTTCTAGTACCGATGCCATAATCTCCTACTGCCTGGTCTCCAGCCTGCTTCTTCCCTACCTTTGCATTAAAGTCGCCCATCACTATAGTATACTGTGTTTTAACCTTACTCATTGCCGATTCCACGTCTTCATAGAAGCTTTCAACTGAAGCGTCATCATGGCTGGATGTGGGCGCGTAAGCCTGTACTACCTTCATTTTGTATCTTTTATTCAGTTTAATTACGATACCTACCACCCTTTCATTAATGCTATAGTATTCCTCTATGTTGCCAGCTATGTTTCTGTGAATTAGGAACCCCACTCCCAGTTCTCTTCTGTCTGCCAAGCCCCTGTAGCAAAGGACGTGCCCATTCTGTAGCACCGTATAGGCCTCATCTGTCCTCCTAACCTCACTGAGCCCTATTATATCCAATTTAACACCCTCTAGCTCCTCGAATAGTACAGCTAGACTTCCCTCACTAGATAAGTGAGGGAAGTACGGATAAGGTTCTAGCGTTAAACGTTGCCAAGTTCAGGTTCCAATGGCGGCCTGTCCGGATCCAGAGATTCTTAGCACCCTCTGCTGCGTTGCAGATCTGACCGCCGCCGTGGTCAGTTGCTTCGCAGCTGCTGGGGACTGAGGGCCATGAGTTATTTGACGTAAGCATGTGGGAGGTAGTGGCCAGATACTGCACCAGGGTGGCCAATCCTTCTCTGGTGAGGGAGTGCGTTCTCGGCGGTGTTTGCCGGTGAGGCCGCACCCCAGGCCTCTTAATGCAGTTCCATCAACACGCGGATTTTTTTTTTAATCCGGTTGGGAACTGCGCGGTACCGGGATTTGAACCACGGACCTCTTGCATGCGAGGCGGATGCTCTAACCACTACGCCATCGCCGCACCCTGAGACTTTTATAGATGGATAAATGGATAGAGCTTTATTGGAAACAATGCAGCTGTATTTAGGCCCCTAGGTGACCAGGGGCGTCCGGCCGACCTCTCTATTCAGGTCCGGTCTACTAGGAACAGCTGCTCATCTGAGCCAGGCCCGAAGAGTGGCCTCCCAAGAGGACAGGAAGGGAGCTACACAAACAGCGAAAAAGGTCCGTCTGGGGCTCACCTTTATTCATGGAAATACAGGGACGTTAGCTTGCACACTACACTGTGCTCCAGGTTCACTAGTGCGTACATGTAAAGCTCAGCGACGTGTTCAATGCCTTCTGCACAGTGTTGGTGGGCTGCTATGACCTATGAAGAATGTAAATTCTGTCTAAAGTCGTTGAAACTATCTTTCCCGGCGCACTGAGACAGGAACAATTGCGAAGATGGGGCAGTTGCTTTCTCGCAGACATCGTTGTCGCATGTAGGGTGTGTGGCGATTTCAAACCTTAAATTTTTTTTCAGTGTAATATTTTTGGTGATTCCAATTAGGCATCCGTGGAGGACCACGCTAAGGTGTCGGCGGCACAAAAGAGTCTCCTTAGATCAAGATATTGCTGCCTTCAAGATGTGTAGGTGTACTTTAAGATCCAAAGGTTGGGGTTGGGGGCTCATGATCATCCGGCCTCCAATCCACGTTAACTCTTCGACTCTTTCTATCATCGAGTAATTCATTTCTTTAGCGAGGTGTGATGCAGAGTGACTAAAGACAAGAATAACAATTCACGCATACTTTATTTTATTTTATTTGCTCTTTTCTTCATTATAGCATACCTTAAACGAACACAGGTCTAGTAACATCATCAAAGTATATAGTTTGTAACAGGATTGACATATGTACACTGACATTCATGAATAACGAGTAAAACTTTAGCTGCTTCCCCAAAGAAGCTGCAAAATGCCCAGTCGTTCCTTGTTCCTCTTTATCCATGTTTTGAACCACTACATGATGTATACACCACAGCATCTTTACTCTAGGAAAATATGAGATGAAACACTGAAAATGTATTTTAAAGGTCATAGCGGCTCGAATTAGGCGAGCGCCGGGGCGTAGGAAGAAATGTTTTTTTTTTTCGGGTGATGGGCCGATGCGCACCACCTTGTTCTCAAGTAAGGGCCGGACAGGCCGATGTGGTCGAGTGTCAGTTTGCGCTCGGTATACCCTGGCAAAAAAAAAAGGGGGGGGGGGGTTGAAAAGAGGGGGCGTGGGAAGGTTGGTGTGCCACCCCTTGGTTACGCCACTGGGCAAGTGGGACTGTATCTATGGCATTAAATGCTCAAGCAGGAAACTATTCCTTGCAACTCGACACATTACATTCGTATTGCCGCGTCACAAGCAGTCGGGGAATAAACATGAATTGGGTGTTCCAGCTCGTATTGCTTACAATAAAGCATGATATAAAAGTAGGGGATTTAATCATATAGATCGTCTTTTTTTTGGATTATTAAGGAAATCAACTGACAGTTAAACCAAACAAAGCGTGGGGAACAGTGCTTGCGGTTTCTTCACTCTATCGTAATTATTCTCGGTTAAATTGAAATAAATTAAAGTGAAATTGCCCTTTGTGTCGGTGTTGGGATCCCTGCCCATAATTCGAAGGTTATGAGTTCGGATCCCACTGACGGAAAGGTTGATTTTTCGTCCACCTCAATTTCTCAGCTTATGTGAGAATCGCAGCAATACACTGTTAAGAAACCGCAAATACTGTGCTACGTTTTCATTGACTTAACTCTCTGCCAATTTCATTAGTTGTGTGTGTGAATACACTGCCTATTACTTCGTGCACTAGGGCTCAGTCCTTGTTAATATTTTTTTTTCCTTCTTTAACGGGGTGTGTGCGCGCCGAAAGCCACAAAAGGCTGCGCATTCGGTTTGTGCTCCCTTCTAAACGGAGTAGTAATAAAAATACATAGCGCTTCTCGGCTAACGGTAACAACCGTACCGTGCTAGAGCTTCACAGATAAGATGCAATGCCGCTATTCTCGGGGGCATAGGTTCGAGTCCGTGCTGCAGCGAGCAAATATCATCGAAGAAGAAACGCGTTGGCAGGGCCACAGCGCCGCACTTCTTACTAAACTAAACTTCATGCCATTTTACCGCATTATTCCGCACTGTTTCTCAAAAGCAAAGGTAAATCATGAGCTGTGCAATTCCACTAAAACATTTTAAATAGATATAAAAGAAATGATGAGGGGAAGTAGGTGTCGTGTAAGTTCTACAGTGGGAAACTGATTGGGTGTGCGTGAACATGCTTGCCGATTACGTTTGCAACTTCTATGCACTTCAAAGGGCCTTTAAATCCCTTTGAAATGCAGGTGTAGTCTTATCTGCGAGCATTCTGCCTCGTGACATGGAATAGGACGGTTGTGAGGTGCACATGCAGACATAAGCATTGTATACACGTAATTGTGGGAGTGCTAACTATTTACATAAGCATATTATTCAAAATCACAAGCGTTCTGTCGGGTATACTCCATTTTATGTTCCACACACTGCTCAGACCAGGGCGCCGTGCTCAATTTGCTGATATAAGGAAAAAGTTGTATGTCACAACAAGAAATGAAGACGCACGGATGCATGCAATTAAGCATCAAGCAAGCAAGCAAACACCAGGCCCATAGAGGATGTGGGGGGAAGAGGCTGGGGCCCATTGCTCCCCGCACTTCAACTTCCCCAAAAATCATCTGAAGGAGTGCTCCTCCTCGGCCTTCACTTGCGTTTTTCAAGGCCTTCAACAAGTGACCCCTCCTCCCCCCGCCAAAAATTCCTGGCTACGGGCTTGGCAAACACTCATCTTTGGCATAGAATGAGCTGCAATGAACAGATATGCGTGTGTCATTACAAAAAAGAGTGTGAAAAAATACAATTAAACGAAACCGATTATTTTGCCATTTCACGTTGCAGTGACGTAGCCTTGTTTCGGTTCATGGTTGGTTCTAAAAGTGAATTTCCGAAGTTTCCGAAATTTTCTCCTTCTCAGTCCTAGTTATATAGACAAAGTGACCCGGCATCCACCCTTATTAATTAATTCCTTTTGTACTTTGTACTCAGAGAACTGTGCACTGTGACAATCACGTACTCTTTCTGCGCAGAAACAAAAATGAGTGAAGAAACACCTAGAGCAGCTGATTTTTCCCTCCTTCTTCTCGATAAGCCTCACTGATAATATTTTGGATTTGTGGCAGATTGTGTGCATATAAAAAAATAAATGGTCAGGTTATTCGCACACCACCTAAAAGAACGAGGATAAGAGATCAACAAACATATGCATGGTTACCAATCATAGCCCGAAAGAAAACATTTTTCGTGCGTAAGTACTTCGTAATTCAACCTGCCTTTCTCCCCTTAACCTCCTCTCTCTCCTTCAAGCTCTACCTAGCTTTTTGAAGTTGCTGCCGTGGAACGTGACGCATTGCTCGAGTTTGCAAACTCGCGTGAAGCAACTTATCGCGCCCCTCACAGACAGATCCTGGTATTACTATATGCATTTCCGAACGCCTTTCAAACTTTCTGCTCCAGTCTCACTCCCAACGGAAACAATGTCGACCCGTGACATAGGTTAGCCTGTACATCATGGGTAAAAAGTAACGCTACAGACAGACAAAGCAGACGAAGAGAGAGAGAGAAAGAGAGAGAGAGAGAGAGAGAGAGGTAGAGAACGAGCGCTGTGTTGTTTCCCGTTCTATGCTCTGTTTTGATGCACTGTCCTTTACCTGGGGAACCACACCGCAGCTAGGCCAGCTTTGCGTTCTATCCTGCACATGGGCGCACGTACGGGGGAGGGAGAGCGAAGGGGTGGTTGCCACTCACTCACCTAAGGGGGCGCAAACTCCGCAAAGTATGCCTCATGTTAACTCATTAGGGAGAGGGGCGTTGCGTTCAGCCATCACCCCCTCCCCCCTCATGTCTTGAAAAGGAACCAGCGCACGCCTAAGATACTGCACGCATGGTGGGATTTCGCACTCTGCTGAATTGCCTACTCAGGCGTTCGTTTGAGCCAATTGGAGATGCCGCGGCAGCGCTTTGAGCCAATCATAGCCGACAAGATGGCGGATGAGATCAACGTTGTCGCTACTCGACAATGCTCGGAAAAGTGTATTCCGGTCTTACAACATGCAGATCACGGCATCACAGACGTCAGGCACTGGATGGAGACAAAAGAAAAGAAAGGTAGGGCGGTTAACCATAAAACTAATACTCTGTGTTTATAGAAGGTCAGGCGTATCGATAAGACGCTGCGTCCTGCACGCCATAATTGCTGCCCCCAGTAATAGGCGAAGCAGAAAGATCCCTGTTTAGTAGTAAGGTCGTGTATGCAAAGAAATTGGGCTAAGTCGTGGAGCCCATAACATTCGGTTGCCTTCTTTGTGGCACACTTTTGTTCGGCCATTTTTATTGTCGCGAATGCTAAATATATCCGCCTGCGCTGCGCACTCAAGAGTTTCCGCCCCCGAGTTCGAGAGAGCAGTCAGCTGGGGTAAATATTAGGCTTGGCACAAAGCCGTTACTGGCCACTCCTAATTTCATTTTCCGTTGTCTTCTGTAACTCTCTCCAGGACTTTTTAGGCGCAGCATTCTTTCTAAACGTGTTTGGGAATCACACGCGAGAGGCCGTCTTGTGTGCATTTCTGGATATTTTTTTCACATGAAAAAGCCTATTTATTTTAGTACTTACGGGAGTTCGAATGACGCAAATTGAATGACTAAACTATTACAATATATGGCCTAGATTGGTCAATTTCAACTTAAAGCAAAAACAAGCCACGTGACCCGCCTTAGTCATATGAACTTTGTCTGAAGGCTTGATAATAAAACATTGGAGAGAATGTTGTTTAAGAAGGTAAAATTTCCCGCTTTTTAAACGAATCTAATCAGCGCGGATTTTTTATTGTTATTATGGTCGTTGCTTCGTGCAATCTAGCTTTTACGATGGACATCGTGTGCGTTGGCCAATGAATGCCTTCCACTCATCTGTATTTCAACCTGCTTCGCTTAGAAGATGTAAATGGCTACACCGATGATAAGCAAGCCGAGTCGTTGTTAATCGATTGTTTTATGGAACAAACAGTCCTTCAAACTATATAAGAGTGAATGATACAAAAGTATCACGGACAATTATGGGCAAATGACCAATATGACGTGACACATGACATAAACGAATGGGGTGTCTTTCAGCCACGTCAAGTTTACGAGTTGCTTTGTGCCTGATTTAGTGAACCAGGGGTTTAAACACGTAATAAGCATGGTGCAGGATGCGTTATTGTTATCAAAATGATGATTAAGATGTACCATTTTTTAATTAACGACATTTGCTAACGAATTAAGGACTATTCTAAGTTACTCAACTCGTGGTCTGTTGAGTCAGACAAGATTCGGAGGTCCACACCGAAATGAATTTCTGTATTTCTTCCCTCAACGCGATTAATTATTAACGTATCGTTAATTTGGTGTCATCGAAACTGGTCAACGTTGAATTCGACCTCTGAAATGCGAGCAAGAGTTTTCTTCCGGGCGTTGTCTTATTCATTGTTTTTGGGCAGGTGCAAAAAATGATTACAATAAATGGATGGAAGGTATGTACAAACCAGCTATGGAGCGAAACAAGTTAGTGTCACTACGATCTAAGGACTATAGTATCAGTATTCATGTCTTATCATTCACCGTTCACGGTCAACCGTTATTGGTAATAAGGCGGGTGGAGCATCGCGCGTAATTCTACTGATAAAAAGCTGGTAAGAGCGGAGTCCTTTGACAAAAAGTCTGCATCGATAAGATCATCGGAGTAAAAGCGTTGCGCTATGTATTGGGTCCTATGTACGAAATATCACATAAATTTCTGCCATTTACACTATAGCGTATGCCGTGTTTCTATACATAAGGTATGCGTGTATACATAACAAACTAGATAGTGTAAATTCGCGCTCTTAGCGACATAGAGGATGAAAGTCGCTCAGACGGCGAATATATATGATATAAGACAAGCTACAAGTGCGCTCGGCACGTAGTCACCTCTGTACTCATCACAAGCACCACTGGCAAAACTCTTAATTTGCCCATCGTACACATTGTTCTTGAAAAATTCAGCCATCCGAACACCACGCATATTAGTATACTAGCAAACCTTTCAGGCCAATCGCAAAGGACCGTTTCCAAGAGGCGTTGAAATTGTCTGAAATGACCTCGCCTCTCGCTGACGTCACGAAAATTAGCTAATATAAGTGACTGGTGCATAGATACGTAATCTAGGAGCACACAAGCGCTAAAGAAATGGTAAAGTTGCGTACATTGCGTATCGATATACATGTGCATCCTCCAGGACGCTTCTCTACGTAAGAAAAGGACAGGGGTGCTAAACATGGCGTCAGCGACGTAATATTTTTCTGATCTCTGCAGTCGCCGACATGTAGCATTTGAGAATGATGACAGCCATCGCTGCAACAGCTCGGATTCAGATGAATGTGGTCGGATAGATTGGTGCGCAATAAAAAGATGAATTGCGCATTGTGATTCTAGAAAAGACAGTTTAGTTCCCCTAGCCTTTACTTCACTTGAACGCCTGCTGACTTGATGATATATTGAAAACTCTGACGTGACGCTCCTTGCTAGCTAACTTTCCCTAACTACGCGGCTTTTTCTGAAGGACGTTGCACTAAAGAGTTGGGAAAATAAAATAGAAGAAGTGCCACACACAAGGCCAACGCCAGCTGTGTGAATTGTTCGTCGTGCATCTCCTCTTTCTTGGAATGACGTCACAGGCTCGGATAAGACGCCGGTGACGGTCGATGCGTGGCTGAAGTTCTCGGTGCAGAAGGCCGTTGCTCTGAAATGGTCAAAACGGTGGCAGGCAATGATTATTTTTGTTTTAGTCGGGCGAAAAACTTCACACATTTCCGCAAATTGCAGGGCATTGAGCTAGCGTCTACACTGCGATAATTATAGAGCTCGGAGTTTTGTTCTATGAAATCGGCGCCGTGTCGTCTCTGAATTCTATTATCACACTGAATAGCGCCCTCAGTGAAGAAAAAAAACTTTTTAGTTCATTATTATGATCACTCAGCAGCTCGTTGCTTCAAGAATTTCATGGTTTCACGTAATCTACAGGATTTACGAGCTGATTAATTAACGTACAAATGTACTGGTTAACAATTGATTAGCTTCATGTGCTTGCAACGTAGATAAGTATACGCGTGTAGACATCGTGCTGTAGGCGGAACAAATTGAGCTTTCCACTGAGGCAGAAACCGCCACTGCATCATCCAGTACCCTTACACGTATTACGACTTGTCTCTGGGCACATGAAAAACATGAAACAGGAGACCGTATTGTTCGTTATGACGTTACAAAGATAAACAAAAAGCTTCATGCATCTCCACGAAGTGAATGATGGCGAGGGGGCAAGGCTAGGTACTAAGGTCCCTATGTATACGCCGAAATCACCGGCTAGTATAAACGACGGACAGAAGGACAGATGGACGGATGAATGGACGGTGCAGGTAGATTTTTGTTTTTTTCACAGCTGTGTGGCAGGTGTTGTGACACGAGTCTGCTCGCCGGTACATAGCCAGACAAGGCTAGCAAGGAACTTGGCCCCTGAAAAAAAAAAATGCGGCAAAACCCACGAACTGTGGGAGTCGATGTCATGTGGAGCAGTCACCGAGTTGCCTGTGCAACATGCTCTGTATTGCTTGGAGCTACGATGTGAATTAGCGTCTGTGTGTACATAAAGTACTTCCAGGCATATCGAAGGCTTTCCAGAAACGTTGACCACGTTGGCACCTAAAGCGAAGCTTATGGTCCGACGCAAAGACACTCACGTTACAACAGCACGAATACCAGCTTCACCGAAGCGAACAGAACGCTACACGGTGATATGATCTGCTGGTCGTCAGGAGCGGTCGGTGTCGTGTTCTTACGGGATCGAGCAAGGATTCACTACAGCTTGCTCAGTCACAGGAGTGTATATCTGATGCTGATGACCTCAGATGGATGGCGCTCACCCACAGAGGAGGATGGGCCAAGAACCGGGCGGCAGGATACTTAAATGAAACTAAAATTAAATTAAAGAAAATCTGAAAAATTAATTTAGAGATACTACTACCAATAAACAAAAATGTTTGGTGAGCAATCGGTCAAACCAGCTCTTGTTTTTGACAGACATCGCTATGAATTATAAACTAAAAATCTGAAAAGGCTAGGGTTCACTAGCACGGTAATCTTTTAGTTGCATTGATGTAATCAAACACAGTGGAGCATATATCCCTGTGTCAGTGACCAAATGAAGTGCCGCTAATGTTTACACTTTCTCTCTTCTTTCTCTTATACCCCCTCACCTTTTTCTAACGCTGAGTAGCAAGTCAGAAAATTGATTCAGACCCACTTCACAGCTTTTCTGTCCTAGTGAGCCTCTCTGTTTAATGTTTTACATTGTTATGAATTCCCATAGCCAACACTGGAACGACAATTGGCGTTGACTCGACTTGTATCTTTCCGAAGCTGTCTCAAGAAATGCCGTGGTTCTGGAGTAAAATACTTGACTGAAGCGTAAAATGTCTGGGAGTTAGATTTGCACTCGAGCCAGGATTTTGATCCATTGTGTTCATCGCGATGTTGCATTCACCTACTGCACCACCGATGTCGGCATCAGATTTCCTGCCATTCGTCAACACATGTTCACCGAAGTCTATTGCCTCAGTTCTTATAGGTCGACATTGGCTGTGTGTTCGCCCCGCCGCGGTGGTCTAGTGGCTAAGGTACTCGGCTACTGACCCGCAGGGCGCGGGTTCGAATCCCGGCTGCGGCGGCTGCATTTCCGATGGAGGCGGAAATGTTGTAGGCCCGTGTGCTCAGATTTGGGAGCACGTTAAAGACCCCCAGGTAATCTAAATTTTCGGAGCCCTCCACTACGGCGTCTCTCATAATCATATAGTGGTTTTGGGACGTTAAACCCCACATATTAATCAATCAACATTGGCTGTGAATCACCTGTGGCGTATATCCGCCCCGCCGCGGTGGTCTATATTGGCTAAGGTACTCGGCTGCTGACCCGCAGGTCGTGGGATCGAATACCGGCTGCGGCGGCTGCATTTTCGATGGAGGTGAAAATTCTGTAGGCCCGTGTGCTCAGATTTGGGTGCATGCACGTTAAAGAACCCCAGGTAGTAGAAATATCCAGAGCCCTCCACTGCGGCGCTTCTCATTATCATATGGTGGTTTGGAAACGTTAAACCCCACATATCAATCAATCATCAATAGTGGCGTATATCCGAATTCCATGGGCCGTGGTATCCTGGCATATTCCCCACGTGATTGAGGAAAAAGGTTTCATGACGTACGCGACCAGCACGCCGCGACATTCATTTGATGATCCGCTAACTGTGAGGTACACTATAGTGACCCTTCACACTAATTTTTGCATACACAATCTGAAGGAGATTGTCACGGGAGCAGGGACTCGTGGACGGGTGTATAGATAGATGAAAAAAAGTATATTTGTCGCACAGGTAAATGCTGCGACTTTAACGAAATATTGTTCTGCTTGAAAGGTATCCATCCTTTAAGGAATATAACAATGTAGGTCGTGTCTGAATGTTCAGTGATCAGACCAAGTAAAACCATAGTTTCAGTTTCTGAAGGGTCTCGTAAAACAGCAACGAAGAAACAATTCATTCAAACTCACTCTCGTTTCTCTCATCTCTCAACGTGAGTGGTGGACCTGTCTTCCGGGACGTCGGCGGAAGAAGACGACGCCGTAAACGACACGGCAGCACCGCCATCCTCAACCCAGGAAGACGTCGCGTTGTCCGTCGCGTTGTCGGCTAGTTCGCCGAGCGAGATCTCCGAAGGAGACGCCGAGCCCTCGGCAACTACGTCCTCGTAGCCCACCGTAGCGTCTATGACGGCTGGTTCATCATTGTTTGTAGCCGCCGTTGCCGTGCTGGTAGGCGCCAGCTGAACTCCGGCAGCCACATTCTGCGAAGTAGATGACACTTGCGAACAGTCCGTCTCGTTCGTAGCAGACGACGCCTGTGCGAACGCAGTGTTGCGACGCGTCTCGCGGTCTTGCTGGAGTGGCTCGGACCGCATGTTGGGGTCCCAGAGGAAGACGTAGTACAACGACAGCACGATCGCCGCGAGCGAGACAGAGAGAACGTACGCCATGACCGTCATGAGTCGCACGATCTTCTTGTGCCGCTTGGTCTCGTATATTTTGGCCTTGGCGGTGTCGAACGGCGTTCCCGTCCTGAATGGTGTCCACACCCGCGACACCAGTGTCCTTGTTGTTGTTGTTGTTCTTGGTGTTCCCTCCACCGGCCAGAGCTGTGGCTGCCTGGCCGGCCGGCGCTGCGGCAGGCTGCGTCGATGCGCCGCGCTCATTGTCCATCTTCATGGCCCTACGGGCAAGCGCGGAGCGTTGCCGCCGGCGACGAGAACAGCGCCGAGGCCGGTGCGGTAGCAGACGATTAGGAAGGAAGCAGACGAGTAGCAGACGGTAAGCAGACGAGCAATAGACGGCACTGCTTTTGCAATCAGCCTTAGGAACGCTTCATGAGTCGGTTCTACGTAAAGCGGTTTGCGTGGCTACCAGTGCGCAATAAAAATGAATAATTACGACATAGCCGTTCAGAAGGGGGAGTAAAAGACGGAGAGACATGGGATGCGGAGGAATGCGATGAGCAAAGGGGGTTTCCTCCCGGGTCGATAGGAGCACCGAGAGAAGCGGGAGAAAGTAGGATGATGAGAGGAGGACTTGACTCGGTGGTGGCCCCTGGTGGCTGGGGAGCACAGCAAGCCTTCGTGAAAACTTGAGGCGTGGCTATCTCGGAGGCAACGCTTTCCCGAGGCTGCAAACCGGCCCGAGTTTACTTTGTTTTATACGTCATATTCTTTTTTTTCCGATAGTGCGGGTAAAATTCGATACGTCGCCTCTGACCTACTTCACGAATCTCCCAAGGACGCGGGGCTTTCCGCTATTATTGTAAATTCTAAGGAGACAGAAATTCTAGGGCTTCCCCATATTCGTCAGTTAATACGCGATAGGTATTTTGTGATGTATAACCTTATACTGTGATTATAACAGTTCTTTTATACTCTACGAGCATAATGCTTACCTTCAAACCACCCACCCTTCTCGTCGCGTCTAAACTTTCGCGATCACTTTTTTGTGGAACATATGCGTCGTAGGTTTATTGCACCCAGCGTGGCTACATAGTTTCCACGCCTAATAAAAAAAAGCGCGCGAGTAATTTTCTCTCTGTTGCTGAGTTGTTTCTAGAGTTTCTCAAGACATTATTGATATTGTAAAATGTTAGAATAAACGGCTTTAGTATGTCTTCCTGTAAAGGCAGCTTTTGCGCACACTTATCGTTTCAATGGAAAAGCCTGCTTTAAGAAGTTTTTTTTTTCTTTTGATTTTGGCGGCAGTGATCGCCGAATCAAGAGGAAGGTATATAACAGCTGTATCTTGCCGGTACTTAGCTATGGAGCAGAAACCTGGAGACTTACAAAGAGGGTTCAGCTTAAATTGAGGACGACGCAGCGAGCAATGGAAAGAAAAATGGTAGGTGTAACCTTAAGAGACAAGAAGAGAGCAGAGTGGATTAGGGAACAAACGGGGGTTAAGGATATCATAGCTGAAATCAAGAAGAGCAAATGGACATGGGCCGGGCATGTAGCGCGTAGACAGGATAACCGCTGGTCATTAAGGGTAACTAACTGGATTCCCAGAGAAGGGAAGCGGGTTAGGCGGAGACAGAATGTTAGGTGCGCAGATGAGATTAAGAAGTTTGCGGGTATAAATTGGCAGCAGCAAGCGCAGGACCGGGTTGACTGGCGGAGCATGGGAGAGGCCTTTGTCCTGCAGTGGACGTAGTCAGGCTGATGATGATGATGATGATCGCCAAATTCATACAATAAATAGATCTAACAAGTTTGCTCCACAGATTATGAATAGGTGGGGCGTTAAATTGGTGCTAATTGCCCTGTACCGGTCCCGTGAGTGGGCCTGAAGCGCTACGAATGCGATGTTCCCGGGGTCATACAACAGAAATTACGTGCCTGCCAACCAAATGGTCTGCAAAGACAATCATTTTACGGAAAAGCTGTATAAATCATTCGCCAATTATTCTACAAGATTACCCCATTTAAATTGTTCTCTTGTTTATATGAGGCTGGAATCTCGCCAAGAAAGGGATATCCCCAAGGCTCTCGACAATGTTTTGCACGAGAGCTGTCTGAATGCGAAACTTTTAAGAAAACCTTCAGCTGTTCCGGTTCAATCAGCACCATATTTACGATCGTAATAAAACTTCCCCTGTGCAAATATTTACATACCACCACAGTGGTCTAGTGATTATGGTGCTTGAGTGCTGGTCCGAAAGTGGCGGGATCAAATCCCGGCTGCGGCGGCTGCATTTTCGATGGAGGCGAAAATGTTGTAGGCCCGTGTGCATAGACCTAGTTGCATGTTAAAGAACCCCAGGTGGTCAAAGTTTTCGGATTCCTTCACTACAGCGTACATTGTAATCATTGTGAACGTTAAACTAGAGAAATTCTTCTTGTTGTTGTTGTTAATAATAATAATAATAATAATAATAATAATAATAATAATAATAATAATATAATAATAATAATAATAATAATTGTTGTTGATGTTGTTGTTCTTGTTGTTACTTTAAATAACATTATTCCTTCTTCCCCAGCTCCGTTCAGCAAGTCTGAATTTCACAGGCCGACCTCACGGCATATGTTTCTTTACCGTCACGATCTGATCCGGTGGTCAGACTGTTCGCGATGCTCGCTGCAGTTTCACCGCCGCATCAGTCACGACGGTGCGGTGATCTTGTGAAAAGAAGGCAACCTTACGGCGGCTCCTCCTAGAATCCCGGTACATGCAACAGACGACGGGAAGCGCAACCGCATCGCGGGGACACTGCCCTACCTTCACTTGCAAGGCGTTGCGACTAGTCTTGACAAATATCGCCGCCATGGCAATAAAGCGTATACAAGCACAGTACATCACGGGCCTTCTCAACCCCGAAGAGAAAGAACATTCGGCAGACGTTCCTCTGCCGAATGTTCACCTTCGACCTTGAGACGCGCGTGGAGTTCTACGTTTTGCTGCCCGAACTCTTTGTATAGCTTGTACGGACTTCTGCGCTGATGAGCCGTGACACCGATCTCCTACATCTCACCTTAGTTTGTAAAAAGCCGCTCATCAAGTTCATTCAAGGTACCTAGGAAAGATTCGTGTCATTGTTTATCGAAGCGGAAACAATGTTACAATAGGTGATTGATCCACGTTTGTGCAGCTTAACGGACGCCACTGAATTAACCGTTGATGAATAGCGATTGAGAAAAGTACGTTCTGTTCATTAATTTTCTGTCGTGTACAGTTTCCATGCAGCTTCTGCCCTTTCTTTTTCGAGAAACCCAAAAACGGCCTTCTTCAAAAAGCCGTATCTGAGGCTTTAGCTACGAATATATTTTCTTTTTTTCCGTATACACAAAGATCTCTCAAACAAAAAATGCAAAAAAAAAAACGAGACGAGCGGAACCTAAAACACAGCCCTTTATCATTTCGACGTTTTTGAGTATGGATATTGTCAATATTATGATTCTCAGTATTACAGCAAAACTATTCATGATTGTTTTAATATTTATAACCTGCAAGGCATAGTAGCCCTGGCACGACGTTTTGTGCGACGTCCGATAAAAGATAGCCAAGCTTTTTTTTTTTTCTCCTTGTGTGTGAACACTGTCATGGTATATGAAAAGTGAGCCATTACTGTGCAGTGGACGTCACGACGAGAGAAATTGTGAATAGACCAAAGTTTAAAGCTCCAGAATGTGACGTCACAAAGGTTCTTTAACCCACTGAAGGCAGAAAAAATTCCGCCATATCCACGAAGTGAATGATGATGAGTGGGCGAAGCTCCGGAGGTAAACCTGGTAAACCATGAATCCTCTGTACATTTTGCCCACTAGAATTTATTACATCGCTCCCCCTAGCGTACGTCGCCGCACTAAATCGAACGATTGCCTTCAACCAATGACACGCGTCATATGTGACATCATTCCTATTTTATAAGATCTCGCGTCTTTTATCAACTACAAGTACCGCTTTCTAGTTTATAACATATTGCATCTTTTCATCGTCAGCTACAAGTACCACCATCTAGTAAACACTACAAGAACTAAACGAGAGGTGGCTACATGGATGGATGGATGGATGCTATGAGCGTCCCCTTTATAACGGGGTGGTGACAAGTATGCCACCAGGCTCGACGAAAAAAAAAAACCTTTTTTCCTTTTTTTCTTTATGTTGGCCTAATGCCTCTACTTCGATAAATTCTATCTTAATGGAAAAAAAGGTAAATTTTCAGCTTAAGTTCTCTGCCATTTACGGCACACTGTCCATAGTTTATTTTTCCAATATTTATTTTTGTCCTTTCTCTCTAATTTTCTGCCACCAATACTCTAACCGTCTCTTACTTATTTCAATCGCGGGTGTGTTCAGCTTTCCATTGTTGTCCCTAAAACCCAAGGCTTCCTGTAGGCTCGTGCCCAAACGTACACCTGGGTGGATATCTCCACATTCAATCAGAACATGCTCCACCGTTGTCAGAAGACGGTACCGCCATCTAGTGAACACTGCAAGAACTAAACTAGAGGTCGCTACATGGATGAATGGATGGATGTGGCTGTACCCTTCAGATCGGGCGGCGGCTAACGCCACCTAGCCGTAATACTTAGTGAACTAACCATTACATTTATCTTTTTTTCCCTTTAAATAATGAAGTTGAGGATTCGTACTTCGCAGTGAAGGGTTTAATTTTCACTCGTGGCTTGACTTTAGCCACCAATCAGATAACCTCCTTCTAGTTAAGTCTACCCGCTTAAAGTCTATTTTGCCCTTGCTGTCCCTAAATCCCAGTGCTTTGAAAAACTCTGCGCCATCATCCTGAACTATAGGGTGAAGCCCTTTACAGAACATTATCAAGTGTTCGGCAGTTTCTTCTTCCTCTCCACACGCACTGCATACTGTGTCGACCCCTTCGTATTTGGCCCGATATGTCTTGGTTCGCAGTACTCCCGTCCTGGCCTCAAACAGTAGAGAACTACCCCTAGTATTATCATAGATCCTTTCCTTGGCAATTTCCTGCTTAAAAGTTCGATAGATCTCTAGTGCGGACTTCTTAATCATGCCCATTCTCCACATGTCAGTCTCCGTTTCCTTCCCTTTTTTCTTAACCGATAGTTCTTTTTGGTTTGGCCACCTGCTGTTTTCTAAGTATTTACCAGTCAACTTCCTGGTTCGCTTCCTCCATTTTGTATCGACATTCTTCATGTACAAGTAGCTGAAAACCTTCCTAGCCCAACGCTCTTCCCCCATTTCTCTCAATCGCTTCTCAAATTTTATCTTGCTGCTAGCTTCCCTGCCCTCAAATGATGTCCATCCCATATCACCTTGTACTCCCTGATTTGGTGTATTCCCGTGAGCTCCTAAAGCAAGCCTACCTACTCCACGTTGCTTAATTTCTAATCTTGCTTGAACTTCTGATCTCATGCACAAGACCGCATTGCTGAACGTCAGCCCAGGAACCATGACCCCTTTCTATATTCCTCTCACAACA